AGCCATCACTACCATCTCTGCACAGGAAGGACGACTCACTGGCAAACGACGCAAAAGAGAAAGCCCACCTTTTAGGCTCCCTTTTTGTGTCCAACTCGACTGTTGATGAAGGGGGGAACACACCGCCGACCATCCAACGGTGTGAGTGCTCCATGCCAGATGTGCGGTTCTCACAGCGCTCGGTTCGCAGAGCACTCCTTTCCCTGGACATCCACAAGTCGAGGGGGCCTGACGGAATCCCCCCAATTGTGCTGAGGACGTGTGCTCCGCAGTTGGCACCGGTTCTAACGCGTCTTTTCCGGTACTCCTACTTCCTAGGCGTAGTCCCGAAATCATGGAAGACAGCTTTTGCCCACCCGATCCCTAAAAGAGGCGACCGCTCAGACCCGTCCAACTACAGGCCTATCGCCATCACCCCCTTGTTCTCCAAAATAATGGAATCCCTTATAAAATGCCACCTCATGCGGTACCTTGAGGATCACCAGCTGATTAGTGACCGCCAATACGGTTTACGTCGGGGTCGATCAGCTGGTGATCTTCTGGTCTACTTAACTCATAGTTGGGCGGAGGCTGGAGAGTCCAGGGGGGAGGCATTGACCGTTAGTTTGGACATTGGGAAGGCCTTCGATTGGGTTTGGCACAAAGCGCTTCTTTCGAAGATCACCAGCTTTCTTGCAGATCGGAGCATCAAGGTCGTTGTAGACGGTGCATGTTCCGACCACAAGCCTATTAAAGCTGATGTTCCACAAGGCTGCGTGCTATCACCAACGCTGTTTCTTCTGCATATTAATGATATGTTGCTAACTGGTAACATTCATTGCTATGCGGATGACAGCACTGGTGATGCTCTATACACCGGCCGTGCCAATATTTCTCGGGAAAACGTCACGGAGTACCGGAACAAATTTGTGTCTGAAGTCGAGTCTTTGCTGGACAAAGTCTCGGATTGGGGGCGACTAAATCTCGTCCAGTTTAATCCTCAGAAGACACAAGTTTGCGCGTTTACCGCTAAAAAGAACCCCTTTGTCATATCTCCTCAGTTTCATGGCACTCCCCTTGTTGCCTCAGCCAGTATCGGAATCCTCGGCGTCGACATATCGAGTGACGTGCAGTTTCGTGGTCACTTGGAAGAAAAGGCCAAATTGGCCTCTAAAAAGCTTGGCGTGCTCAGCAGAGCGGGACGGTATTTCATGCCGGCTCAACGCCTGCAACTCTACAAGGCGCAGGTTCGGCCTCACATGGAATACTGTTCCCATCTCTGGGCTGGGGCTCCCCAGTGCCAGCTCCTTCCACTTGATCGCATCCAGCGCAGAGCGGCTCGAATCGACGACGACCGAGTCCTTTCCGATCGGCTCGACTCATTGGCGCTGCGAAGAGATGTTGCATCTCTTTGCATTTTCTTTCGCATTTACCACGGGGAGTGCTCTGAGGAATTGTTCGGATTAATCCCAACCGCCAAATTTCACGCACGCACATCGCGGCAGAACTCCCGATACCATCCACACCATCTGGATGATTGGCGGTCCACCACTGTGCGATTTAGAAGATGTTTTCTTCCTCGCACAACTTCCTTGTGGAATAGTTTACCACCAGCGATTTTTCCGGACCGATAGCTAGCGACTAGGACTAGACTACCTTCAAGAAAAGAGCCTACTCCTTTTGAAAAGGCCGGCAACGCATCTGCAATTCCCCTGGTGTTGCGGTTGTTCATGGGCGGCGGTAGTCACTTACCATCAGGTGAGCTGCATGCTCGTTTGCCCCCTCTCCTATAAAAAACACACGCACGTACTTTTTATAAAATTACACTTTGATGACAATTGAGGAACAATAGCTGCAGCCTCGAGTTCGAATCCTGCAAGTGTTTTTGTGGCCTACGAATTGCTCTATTGTGGATGTTTGTCTATATGCAATGTATTTATGTAAGACAACTCCACGGTAAAGGGCAAAAACTAGAATTAAAAAATAATAAAAGAGAATAAAACCTTTAATGGTGCTGACTAATGCAATATTATTATATTATACTATGGCAATATTATTATATTACCAATTTTAATAAAAGAATGCTTTATGTGTGTTGTCATACCTGAGGTGTAAGAGTGAGACCACACCAATCGATCGACGGTAGAATGGATTTAGTTAGACGTCGACCGAGCTGCTTGATTATTTGAGAACCCGCCCCGCTCCACCGACCGCTATTTAAAAGTCGTCTAAATGAATTTAAGCTATTTCTAGCCTTAAAAAACGGCCGCATCCAGTGTCTTCTGCGTTTGCGTTTCTATAATAATAATACGAGCAAGATGGCCTAAAGGTCTAGATGCCAGGCCATAAACTCCAAAAAAAAAATACGAGCAAGAGCGTACTGACTAACAATAACGCGTCTTCTTCCGAATACATTTAGAAAGATACTGATAATGAGCTACATCGATTAATTGTTGATCGATGATTGAACAACGTTTTATCGACCAGTATCCGTCGAACAGCTAAATCCACTACACCAATTGATCGACATCGATCGATTGGTGAGGTAACACGCTAAGATAGAATGAAAATCTTAAATTTCAAATCGGAATATATCAGTGAGAGCATCGCTGCCTAGCGGTTACGGTTTATGCGTAACAGAGTGATAATTAGGTATATAGATGGACACCTGTACAGATAATTAAACATTTAGCAAAGTAACGTTGTCACCCGTGAGGACTAAGATGGAATGCCTCCTTTCCAGTAAAAAGGGTCTCCGGTTCTCTACACTCACCATACGAAACACAGCAGTGTTAAACTGCTATTTTACGCTGGTATTCTGTGAGAGCGTGGCACTTCCCCGGTCGAGCCGACCCATTCGTGCTGCAACTATACTACTAATATAGCTGCATCATTATGGCTCTACCACGTATAAACAACGTATTAACTAGATAATTATATCGTCATATATAACAAGGCATGATTTTTCTGGGGTTTCCCATAATTGCCTCTTACGACAACCACTGTATGAAATAAGTAATTAAAAAAAAGAAGTATGCTAAAAATCTCCATTATCTACAATTAAAAAGATTTTCCTTGAACTATATTATACTACAGCCTGCTAATAGCTGTAGTTGAAACTGACTCAGAGATGTGAGATGTGACGTTGCGTGACCATAGTGTTGTATCATTGTTTGTTTTGGCAAATAGCTGTTAGATTAGCGTTGTTTCTTTACGCGATAAGGCTGTGTTCATTAAGCAGTAGATAATGAACTATTGCACAAGTTAGCACGGGTATCGGCAAGTTTGTTTGAACCTATTATCTACATCAAATAAATAATAGGGTGTGTTTGTAGTATTGAAATAAGTGTATTTATTTATTTATTTTTATATAGAATTAGGATGGCAAAAGAGGACACAGTCCACCAGATGGTAACTGGATGCTGTGGTCCATAGACGTCTACGTTTATTCTCGATTAAGAATTAAAATGCAGATGCGTTGTCACCCCTTAAGACTAAGATGAAATGCCTCGTTTCTCTCTCTAAAAAGGGTCTCCGGTTGTATACACTCAACATACAAAACACTGCAGCATTGAGCTGCTATTTTACGCTGGTATTCTGTGAGAGCGTGGTGCCTGATCAAGCTGACCCAATCGTGCTACAACCATAAAATAACTGCAGCGTGGCTCTGCTTGTATTTTGTTATTTATTTACTTACTTGGTAAGACGATGTTTTCCAGGTTGGTTTTGAACAAAGAGCAACTTTACGAATTAGATTGAAGGCTTTTGTAGTCTTTAGAAGCACGCTGTATAATTTTTCCATGTATACGTTATGGAGCAAGTGATTAATAGGGCATAATTCATAATGTCCAGACAGTTTAAAAAACGTCCAATATGAGTAGACAATATGATATAAAACTATTGAAATAATTAAATTGACTGGGATTTATGAATAAAATCTGTTACTTGGGCAGAGTAATTAAAACGTAGTTTAGGTTCGGTTTGGTCGTGACCAGATAATGTGATAAATAATTAATTTAAATTAGCATTAATTAAATAGCCCGATTTGACTTGTCATTATTCATATTGAGCAGGCATTATAAATAATGCCCTGATTAGTGACTTGGTCCATACCGTATATATTAATTTCGATAAAGTAATAAATACTTAAATAATATAAAATATAATAAATTATCGGAACAGACATGTTGTGTATATGTACGTGTAATGCATGAAGAAGCAGTAAACTTAGGCTTACGCAGGCTTATGAGGAAAGTTCGAATAACCTAAAAATAATACAAATATTTCTGGTTTGGGTTGGCCCAAGATCTATAAGTTAGTTGAAGCGCACCTTTAACTACTGTCACTGATATTTACTTTCGCATTTTCACCCAATTTTAACAGCAGTTATCTTATTATTAAGGCTTAAATAAAATAGTAGCCCGCAGAAGTAGTAAAACTGGATAAACCTAGGCTTACTACTGCTGCGGGCATTACTCGTAAAATACATAGTGTGTTGTGAACGTATTTATGATATATTACAAAATGAAGGCAACTTGGGAAAATTATGACTTCATATTTCATCTTCTTCTCCAAATGCAAATCTCCAGTGCATGCGATATTATTAAAAATGCCGTGCCCTAATCTCACAGACTGGTTTAAAAGCAATATAAATATGTAAATATAGCATGTTAGTTACTAATATGCTATAGCATGTTAATAGGTACTCGATACCGAGTAAATAATACAAGTCATCCATGTTCACTGTACCTATTAACCTATACAGGTTAATAGGTACAGTGAACATGGATGACTCAGTTACGAGACTTATGCTTTTTGATGAATGTTTAAAAAGGTGTGATCTTAGCTCCAGCTGTGGTCTTAAAAACTTTAATACTAAACCTGCTGTCTGTTTTATCCACCTGGTTCTAACGACAATGGGACGAAATGCTATATTTACTGCTATATGCTATTTTTAGCACGGCACTTCACTAGCGCTACAAAGCGAGTTGTTGTTTGTGTCAGTTTCATTTCACTCAATTAGTACGCGACCGGCATCTGTGTTTGGTGTTATAGAGACTTGGTTGTGTCATTGGTGAGTAAACACGGTTTTTATTTACAAACAGAAAATTCAACTAGTTTGACTTAAAAAGTGTATTTTTACTGTTAAATATGTAAATTATATTAATTTTATGTACGGATTAAAAAATAACGTGCATTTTTGCTGTGCTTTATATTTTGTGCGACACTATAATGGCATTATTCTGTAATAATTCAATGAAGCAAATAGGTTCTAGTTTCTAGGTCGTCTATTGATTTTTCAGGGTTTATTTAACTTCTTTTTTATTTGCCTTCTAGTTACAAATTTACTACAACTTTATTATATTCTTGTTGTGTTACAAATGAGGAAAGTATTGATATATTTTCAACCAACTTTAAATAATCGGCCAAGTGCGAGTCCGACTCGCGCATGAAGGGTTCCGTAACATCGGAATACACGTTTCTAGTAGGGGACCCCCTTTAATTTTTAATTTATTTTTATTTTTATTACATATTTGTTGTTATAGCGGCAATATAAATACTAAATTTTTTACAGTTATATAAAGTCGACTTTAAGTTTTTATTAAAAGTTATTGCTTTACCCTTTTGGATGGACGTAAGACTCAGTTCCGGTGTGTTATGAAATAAAAAAGAGTTTCAGAGAGGAATCATACTTTCACTGTGTTTATGTATAAATTTCAATATGATAAGAATTTTACTTTTACTTCAGAGATGGTTTCTCATAAATTTAAAGTAAAAATTCAACCCCTAATAGTGGTAGAACAGGGAATGAATTTTATCTGTTAACGTACGAGATATTAATTATTAACACATTATAAAATACACTCCCTATCCCTAACTAAGTCTTCATGACAAGGCCTCAGTATGAGGTCCCCATTGTAGTTAAAAGTCAATTGTAATACCAAGAAAGACTGGAACACATCACACAACAAAACAACAAGGAATGTACTAACTCAAGTGTTTTATCTTACAAGTTGATATGCGTAATAACCCATGTTACATTGGGCGAAGAAATTTTGATGCATTTCATTTTATTAGCATTCAAAAGCAAGTTTTGAATGCTAATAAAACGAGACCATTTTCAGTGCCTAGAAGATTTCAATGCAGTGGACGATAAGAATGACAAGCTCGTGGAAACTGTCCATGCGGTCGGAGCTAAGTCTTGCAAGACCCGCCGCAGAAAAACACCAAAACTCTCCGATCCGATCGGAAAATGAAGCTTTAGTCTTCAGTAGATTTGATAGCATACAGGCAACTGAACAGACAGATCTCCAAATGCATGCGGCGGGACTAACGCAACTTTAATACTGCTCGTCGCACTATTCCGATGATATCCCGGACTGACGTCTGAGCGAGATCAAATTGGCTCTCCAGCACCTTAAAAACGGCAAGTGCCCGGGCGAGTATGGAATTACAGCAAAGCTTCTGAAAGCGGATGGAAAACCGGTACTTGAAATCCTTCAGAAGCTCTTTAATTCCGTCCTCCATGGTGGCACTACTCCGGAGGCGTGGAGCAGAAGTGCGGTGATCTTGTTCTTCAAGCAAGGCGACAACGCTCTCTTGAAGAACTACAGACCGATTTCCCTTCTGAGCCGCGTCTACGTGCTGTTTTGGAGAGTCATTACGAATCGTCTCGCACGCAGACTTGACGACTTCCAGCCTCCCGAACAAGCCGGATTCCGAAAAGGCTTTAGCACCATAGACCACATACATAGTCTTCGGAAAATTGAACAGAAGACCGAAGAGTACAATCTGCCACTTTGTCTTGCGTATGTGGACTATGAGAAAGCTTTGATTCCGTCGAAATTTGGGCGGTGCTGCAGTCCCTTCAGCGGTGCCAAGTTGACTGTCGGTATATCGAAATGCTGAAGTGTTTGTATAGTAGGGCTACGATGACTTTTCGAGTACAGAACCAGAGTACAAGACCTATCCAAATGCAGAGAGGTGTAAGACAGGGTGACCTAATATCCCCGAAACTCTTCACCGCTGCATTGGAAGACTTGGAAGACGTTTTCAAGCTACTGGACTGGAAATGATACTGTATTAACGTCAATGGCAAGTACATCACCCACCTTCGATTTGCCGACGATATAGTCCTTATGGCAGAATCGCTGGAGGACCTAAGAACTATGCTCAATGACCTCAATAGTGTCTCCCAATGGATAGGTCTCAAGATGAACATGGACAAAACAAAACTCATGTTTAACGTCCATGTCACACCTATGCCGGTAGTTGTTGGGAGCACTAAGCTTGAAGTTGTTGACGAATATGTTTACCTGGGATAAATAGTCCGGCTAGGTAAGTCCAACTTCGACCGAGAGGTTAATCGACGGATTCAAGTCGGCTGGGCAGCGTTTGGGAGATTACCAAATATCTTCTCGTCAGGTATACCTCAAAACTTAAAAACTAGACTGTACAATCAGTGCGTTTTGCCAGTTATGACCTATGGAACTGAAACATGGTCCTTCACTGCTGGCCATATAAGAAAGCTCAAAGTCGCTCAGCGAGCTATGAAGAGGGCTATGCTCGGCGTTTCTCTGCGAGATAGCCTTAAAAACGAGGATATCCGTAGTAGAATTGGAGTAACCAACATAACTCAAAGAATTAGTATGGTGAAGTGGCAATGGGCCGGCCATATAGCTCGAAAAACCGACAACCGATGGGGAAGAAAGGTTCTCGAGTGGCAGCCTCGTACCGGCAGGTGAAGTATAGGGCGACACCCCACTAGATGTAGTAATGACCTGATAAGACATGCAGGAACTCAATGGATGCAGGTGACTCGGGACCATGCTTTATGGCATTCGTTGGGGGAGGCCTATGTTCAGCAGTGGACTTGTGAAGGGCTATAATGATGATGACGATGGATGAATGATGATTTTTTTAATTTTGGAGAAGAACATAGTAATGACTCTTACCATCATTTAAAAAAGTGTCTTTGGCGGACCTACTATACTCTTTGGCGTGACCATAGTTCTGACTAGTTTCTTAAACGAAATGTCGAGGCCTGAGTGGTTAAATCAGTTTAGCCGCTTCAGAGAAATTAGTTAACATCATCGACCACTAATAAATAACTAGCTATACACAATCGAACATTTGGGTGCGCTTTAAATTTGTACATAGCTTCGTGAATATAACTTTAGGCAGGAATTTGCATTAATTTATATTTATTTTAAACTAGAATTACGTCATAACAATTGGCGACAGTTTATAGAGAACTTTTGCGTGGGATTGTGTATCTAGTTTTTTTTAATTACTGATCGATGGTAAACATACAGGAAAAACATACGCGTCGAATATAGAACCTTCTCGCTTGCTAAAACATTGCTGGTTTGTATTGTTTATAAGAAGTGCTGATCTGTCAAAATGTCGAGGACGCGTTAAGTCAGGGATCGATGCGTGAAGTCAGGGTCAGCGCGGTGGACTATCTTTGTTCGTTTATTTATTAAAGTCTATCAAAATTCCACTGCCAAAGGCCTCCACCGTAGATTGTGCCATAGGTGGGATATTTGCCATAGTTACCACGCTTGGCTGGATACCAACAGTAATATTTAACCTACCTCAAAAAGGAGAAGGTTCTCTATTCAACTGTATTTTTTTAAGTGAGCTACCTCAGATTTTCTTAGGTGAAGTCCCCATATAAATTTGATCAAGATCTGACCAGTAGTTTTTGAGTTATCCTTAATAACGCGTATCCACATTATCTGTATCATTGGCGGTCCACCACTGTGCGATTTAGAAGATGTTTTCTTCATCGCACGACTTCCTTGTGGAATCGATTACCACCAGCGATTTTTCCGGACCGATACGTCTTAGGGACCTTCAAGAAAAGAGCCTACCTACTCCGTTTTAAAAGACTGGCAACGCATCTGCAATTCCCTTGTTTCTCCTGGTGTCGCAGTCTTTTACGTGGTAGAGCTATGCTGCAGCTATATTAGTAGTATAGTTGTAGCACGAATGGGTCGGCTCGACTGGGGAAGGACTACACTCTCACAGAATACCAGCGTAAAACAGCAGCCTAACACTGCTGTGTTACGTATGGTGAGTGTAAAGAACCGGAGACCCTTTTTACTAGAAAAGAGGCATTCAATCTTAGTCCTCACGGGTGACAACGCATCTGCATTTTGATTCGCAAACGAGGATAGATGTAGATGTCTATGGGCCACAGCATCCACTTACCATCAGGTGAACTGTATCTTCTATGGCTATCCCTATTCTATATAAAAATAAATAAATACACTTGTTTCAATACAACAAACACACCCGTAGCGCATTATTTCTTTGATGTAGATTATAGGTTCAAACAAACTTCCCGATACACGTGCCAACTTGTGCAATAGTTCATTATCTACTGCTTAATGAACACAGCCTTATCGCGTAAAGAAACAACGCTAATCTAACATCTATTTGCCAAAAACAAACAATGATACAACACTATGGTCACGCAACCACTTACCATCAGGTGGACTGAGTGCTCGTTTGTCACCCTATCCTGTAAAAAAAAAATTTTTCATGGGCGGTGGTAGTCACTTCTGGTGAGCCGCATGCTCGTGTGCCCCCTCACCTATAAAAAAAATTAATTGACTTCGATTACATTGATGAAGTCGTTTGTTAAAATTTTTAATTTTAACACTCTTGTTGTTAATCATTTAGAGCTGTTATCAGGAAGATGCTGCTGCCCATCTCCTGTTTCCCTTCCTTTGTTCCCTCTTACGACATCCACGGGATGATATGGGATAGTGGATTATATTTCGCTGCTACTACAAAGCGACAGTACATACGGTGAGACAGACTACATTGTGTGTCCAAATTTCGTACCGTCTCATTGCAAAAGTTAGTAATAGTTTCTTTTTAATACTAGCAAAGCTATTAAAATTACTAATATTACATTTAACCACTCCTGCTAAGCTGAAAATGCTGTGTCAGGATTGGTTCACGACAGTGGCGGAATAGCGGATTCGAACCTACGACCTTTTGAGTTCGCGGTCCGTACCCTGTCATTATGCTACGATGAAATTTGACAGCAAATGTAATTTT